CCGATTCGCTCGGTGCATCGGCATAAAAAGTTAACGATGCGATGCATCGGTTTAAAAAGTGTGCATCGGCTGCAAGTTGGCATTTATATTGCGATGCATCGTTTCGAACATATTTGTATCGGTAAAAACCGATTTATTCATATATAATTACTAGTGGATGCGCTATACTTTTATTATTTAGAAAGTGACCAATAATCTGTGACCAATATTTTATATGTAGATTGATTTCTCCTCTCTAAACTGTTTCTCAAGCGCGCTCTGTCATCACTGCTGCTGCGTGATTGTGACGCATCACAGCACCATGGGATTAAAGTCCAAAACATGACTTGAAATAACCTAACAAATCAATCGGGGCTAAAGCGGTGCCATAAATGACCAATTAAGTTCACACAATCTCACTGATTTGTGCACGCTTATTCTTAAGCAGCCCTTAATGTCGATCATGAATCAAATCGATCCACCATCGCAAACAGCGAATATATCTGTGCTGTTTAATGCATTTGAGACGTTGTGTTTTCCTCAGTGCATAACTGACATGTCCCAGGTGTATTTTTCATCTGTAAATGTCAGAAAGTCACGCAAACATATTAATTTTGCTGTCAGGGGTGGGCGAGGCTGACACGAGTGAACGAGCGCTGCTGCGCGCATGCGCGTTAAACAGACTGCGCGCAATCAAATAGGAGCGCAATAATTCTGAGTAAAATATAAATTTTGCTAAAATATTTGCATTAAATGTGTCTTTTGTAGAATTTTAAACCTACATATAAGTGCTTTATTATTTATTTTCATTTTTAATTCAGTGATTTTAACTTTTAATTTAGTTATTTTAATGCTTTAAAGAGCAATTTTAGAATGTAATGTTCTAATGTTCTGCTATCTGTTCTGCAAACTATAACAGGTACAGCTGTAATAAAACCAGAGAGAAAGGCTGCATGGCTAAAAACTGTAAAAAAAAATAAAATAAAAAAAAAAGTCAAAATAATAGTGGTAAAATTAAAGTCAAATAATAGTGGTAATATCATTATGTTCCTATTGGTCAGTAGGCTAGAGGAGCTTAGCTTAGCCTGACAGTTAGCCTGCTTTAGACCAGGTTAATTTCCCAGCATAAGTTGCCACAGTGACTGAGCTTGATCTAGGCCCATTTTAAATTTGCTTTATGGAACCAAATCATTTGACAATGAGTCAGACTTACTGAAATAAGCCTGGATTATTTGAAAAAACTTGTTTTATGAAACAGGCCGCGAGGCATTAAAAGTGATCATATTTTCTCCATTGCATCGTATTGCATCGAATCGCATTGTGTTGAAACGAATCGAATCGAAATATGATTGCACTGCATCGTAACGGGTTGAATCGTATCGCATCGCATCGGTAGCTGCTTCATATGTATCTTTAATGTATCGTATCGTTGGCTATGTATCGAGATGTGTATCGTATCGGCCTGAGTCATGAGATGCACATCCCTAGTGTAAAGGGAGCACATCTTACAAGATCAGATATTTGTCAGTGAGCTCAGGATCTGTTGAGCAGCAAATACTCCAGCATTGTCTTGTCAGTCATCTCTCCTTATTCTCGACCTGTGATCAGTCAGATCTGACTCCTGCAGCTCTTCTTGGATGCAGGGTTGGCAAGTCCGTGTTTTTTCCACAGAATTGGGCTACTTTTAAACTGTTTCCATGGGTTTATTTTCCCAAGTGGGTTAAAGGTTTGAAATATTGCATAAATTACATTTGACTGAAATGCCTGTATTGAAATATTTTGCATTCAAGTTCAACCTGTGATAAAACTTTCATGGACTTTTTCATTAACTGTTCCCTCCTGGTGGAATGAAGCGGAGTTTAATCATTTTCAAGAAACGGCTGAAAATACATCACTTTCATCTTCATTTGACCCTCTTACCTCTAGCACTCTTTATTCTAATGCTAATTCTAATTTTATCTGCTTGTTTTTTTTTATTAAATAAACTTGACCCTCTAACATTTGCCATTTGCATCTATTCGTTTTCTGTTCTATTGACTTGTTTTATTTTAATTTTAAAATGAGCCTCTAACACTAGCATTCCCTATTCTTTTTCTATTCTATCTACTTGTTTTCTTTTTATTTATTCTAAAAAATAAAAATAAAAAAACCTTGCTACGTATACCGTGTTAGGCGAATCCCTAACTCCTGACATGTGTACATGTAATGTTATTTCTATTGAAATGTGTATGTCATGTATTTAAAAAAAATTGGGATTATGTAAAAATGTATTCACTTTATATGTAATGTCACACTACAGTTAAAATACTTCTTTATAACTTGACAAAAGATCATTATAATACAATAAACAATGATTTAAAATGTATTTTAAAGTAAAATAAAGTTTTAAAGTTTAATTTGACATTATTACAAAGCACACTTTAAAAGTGTACTTAAGTGTGTTAAGAAACAGTTATGAAAGTACACTTAGGTGGCCTTTTATTTCATAAATGTTATATTATCTGGAAGTACATTTTTTTTTAAATATTCTTTTAATTTTTGAAGTATGCTACAAGTGCACATTCAATACAATTAAGTGCATTTCTTTTACACAAGAATATACACTATAAGAAAGCATTGATAAAAGTTGCTGTTACTGTAAAAATTTGCTATTTCGGTATTATTCGCCACAGCCATCAAATAAATAAATAAATAAAAACAAAATAGAAAGAAGGAAAGAAAGAAAGTCAAAATTATGAATATTATTATGAAAGCATTAACAGTTTGATAACTGGCTACAGCTGTGGTATTTTTGCAGACACTATTTACTTAGTAATTTACAGTTACTATTATGAATGTTCATAAGAGTAGAGCAATCTGGCGGTAAAAATCTGGTCTTGATCAAAAGTCTTTGTAATTCTAGCCTAGCCTAGTCTTTTGGCTGATCTCCTCCAGGGTTCAAACATGCATTCTTTGGGTTGCAAGCTCAGAGCTCTACGCTACCATATTGTTTTATTCATTTGTGCTTCAGAGAGGGAAGATTGACGTGTCACTGATCTGTTTTTCTTCTTTCGCTGAGCAGGTAACTTGGCAACATCCAGGGCAAGAGTGACAGCAGCATCCAGATCTCTGCCTCCACAGCTCAACAGCGGGAGAAATAAGGTTTGTGCTTCTCACTGACTGTTACAAAGTCTTCTTTACATTCAGACAGTCATCACAAAAATATCCGGTCATTTCAGATGACAATGAACATGAATTATGACATATTTCAGTTCCTTTTCTGATTTTTGGACAGTTTTATCTGTTCAGTAAAGGTGCAGGTTTGGTGTAAACTCAAAGCTTAGTCATTAACCTTAGATATTAGCCTTTTATATCATTTTCGCTGTGTTAAAGAGTCAGGTGTTACTGTATGGGCTGCTATCAGTTACTTCATCAGCCACATGATGGAATGAATATATTACAACTGATGAAGCTTATGATGTTATTTTATTTTATTTATTTTTTTGCTAATGCATTTACTCCAAAACCTCTGAACTTGTGTGTGTGTGTGTGCGTGCGTGCGTGTGTGTCTGTGTGGTTTTCATTGTAAAATACCTCTGTTCTTCACTCTTCTGTACTTCTTATCTATTATCTGTCTCTCTGAACTATCCTCTCTCCTCTCAGTCTCCTAAATATCTGCTAAAGGTAAGAATCTCTTCAAATCCATCTTCATATTCATTAGCCTCATATTTTCTAAAGCAATTTTCACTACTTTATTTTCTCTTTCTGGTTTGATTTACTCTTGATTTACTCTGTGAGGCAATGGACTTAGAACCTAGAATACCTAGAATCTCTTCTTAGAATACCTAAAATCTCTTAATGTTTTAAATAATCCTGAGGCCATGAATCAGTGTTTAATTTGAGAAGCAGCTCTAAAACGGCCACACCCTATGCTTTTTATCCTGTTTAAAGTCCACTTATATTTGTTAATGAAGGTTTTTCTCACCAAAAACGGTTGTAATTTAGTTTTTCATGACTATTTTCCACCCTCTCTCTGAGTATCCCAAGAAATCCAAATTGGAATTTTGTATCTTTAGTTAATGTCTTTTAGCTTTAAAAACAGCTAATGTACACCTTTAAAAAATTACAAAATGTACTTTTAGTAGATATAAGCATTTAAAATTTACAGTATATTTTTTATAGGAAAGTAGAACAAAAATATTGATTGTTCTTATCTTTCAATTAGTGTTGTCACGGTACCAAAATTTCAGTATTCGGTACCAATACCAGTGAAAATCCACGGTTCTCAGTACCAATTTCGGTACCAAAGGAAAACACAAAAACATGCTAATTGAACAACATTTTTATTAATAACGTTAAACAAAAATTAAATGTACAAAACCAATGCCATTCTTTATACTTGTGGAAAAACTTGAAACATTAAAAATTAATTAAACAAGTTTCACCCAAAAGTTTAGTCATAGTTCTGCTGCCACTGAAAAACATCTGTAAACTGTTGTCTGTTTTAGGGTTTGCTGGTGTGTTTCAGGATCTTCCTCAGTCTGCAGCTGTAAAAGGAAAATATAATATACTTCAGTAAAGCAATGGACTGAGTCTGACCAGATGCAACATTAGATCATTGACAACAGCTAAAATATCACATTTCAGTAAATAACAAACCTCAGCTTTTATAATACATTTAGATAAGATTACAAATATTAAGTGTATATCAAATAGATGGAAACTGTAGTATTAAAAACTCTTTACAATAAGATTTTATTTGTTATATAACATGACCTAACAATAAACAATAGTTATATGGCAATTATTCTTCTTAGGGTTAATTTCAAAGTTCAATCTGTTAAAATTATTTAATGCACAATGAACAAACATGAATGATCAAGTGTTTGTATTAAATAACATTCACAAACATTAATGAATGTTTTAAAAATATATTGTTCACTCACTGTAAGATGTTACTAGATCTAACTCACATTAGAAAACATTCATTGTACAGTAAAGTCTATACAGGAGATACAATTTGACTGTACTTTTATTTAATCCAAACTGTGTTCATATTTAATTTTAAAGGGCTTTTAAA